TCCTTCTGGAGGTTATTCGATCCTTTCCTTAGCCTATAATAAAATACTAACCAGACAAACAACTAAACTAAGAAAATGCATTTTGTGTGTCAATATAAACGTATATTGTGACTTCTAAGTGCTCAAAGTTATAAAGGGAAAGTTCTTTAACCCTAAGAGGGTTGAACAAATAGGACCCCAAAGACAGTAAAGGCAATGCCCAGCAATTTAAGGATTGGAGAATGATCAATATTCAGTCTCTTTCCCCCACACACCCACACGTAGGGAGGTTGATAGATACAGAGTTTGGTGAGTAGTTAATGAGTGTTTGGATTTAGTTACTCAGATTACAAATCAAAATAATTACTGGAATAACAAGTGTTTGACATTTTGTTTCCACATTGAACCGATTGGAACAAATAAGCACTCAGTTTCCCACTTCAGAAACATTTAACGGTACAACTTAGAATGGTCTTCAGCATGCTTTTGTTAACTCATTTGTTTCAGCATACTTGAGTCATTATTTAATGCTTCATTATTGACTGTTAAAATGGTTCCTTTATGTGTGGTACACCTGTTACATTGCCTAACCAGTACAATACAAAATTACATTTGTGTAGCCTCTTTACAGTACAATAATAATGCCTCCAAAACCCAAAACAATAATAAAATTGGTCATTTTCAATCTACGACTGTTTGTGGGACATTGCTGTGCGCAATTGGCTGCCGCGTTCGCCCACAAATATACAGTCAATTCACTTTACAGTGTGTTCAGTGAAGCGCTTTGGGACGTCCTCCCGACATGAAAAGCGCTATATCAAATGCAAGGATTAAGCGGTCCAGAGGAATTCCCATGATGACCATTGGACTTTCTAGCCTGTTTTAGAGCACTGTTGTATGGGTATCGGCATAACTCCTTTTTTATTAGTTGAACACTAACCAATACCCCAATGCTGTATACCAAATAATAACTGTGGACCAGTAATTCCAACACTGGGTTGGGCCAACTGTGAATCTAACCATTGTGATGGATTGTGTTGGGAGGAGGGGAGAACAGGGAGGTCACACTAACTAGCCTTGTAACTCGCCTTGTTCACCCAAATTTATGTGATAATAAGCATAACACATGTCAGAATTTTCACACACACCCCAAAGTATTTTCTATTTGAAATATAATTCTATCTTTTTGTTTGTTGGGAAAAATCAGTGTATGTATTCAAATTGAAATGTGGTCGTGTTTAACGTAAAATAAACGGAAATAAATATTCTCTCACTTCTCTTGATTTGCTTTGTAATAAACATTTCTCAAACTTCATACATAAATTCATTATCAGGATAACTTGCAAATGATCCACATTTTTTGTTATGAACAATATTTTTGTTCTTGGAATGTGTATTAATAATAATGTGAATCTATTGATAATAATCCCAGCATTTAATGTAGCACCTTATCACATCTTTGAGACGTCTCAAAGCTCTTCACAGAATATACTATAAAATGAATTCACTGTATATTTTGTGGGTGAAACGTATTGTAAGCATTTGCAAGTATTGTACTGAAATGTCATTAAACACTATTTTAGGAGGTATCTGCTCACTATCGGTACCTCTGAGCCATGCTTGTTATCTTGCTTCATTCTCTGAAACTGCTGGTTCTTACATAGTTCAGTGCACTGGGTAGCATTACTTTTGATAGAACTGTAAGACCTTCCCTGAATGTACCTGCGAGTACCACATATTTATTTTATCATATTATCTGTAATGTATCATTTAATCTCTAATGTATCATGTAACCTGTGGTGTATCATGGCTGTGATGTGTCATGTAAGCGGTAATGCTCCACTACATAAGGAAGCGAGTAAATGGTGTTCTTTTTTTTAAAAAAAAGTTACTGGTTAGACACAGTCTAGCAGCAGGTATTTTATAATAACAATACAATTCTTGTATTTGATATAGCGCCTTATCAATTATGGAGATATCTCAGAGTACTTTACAGCGTTTACAGAATTTTGTGTAGAACGTGTACCTGATTTGACATCATAGAGGAATGATTCTCCAAAGGGCTGTGAATTTATGAACCTTGTTTGTGTGAGTCTATAATGGAAAGCACCCAGTGTAAGCTTCTGCCATCAAGGTTCATAAGTCAGCTTTGATGAAGTTTCATGTAGTGATGTGATGGGGAAGGAATACCAGCTGGCTGTTTCTGCGGACTCTCCTCTTGGGGGGAGGGGGGGTGAGGGTGGTAAGTGGGGTCTCCTTGGAGCTGAACTGGCTCCAAGGTGACATGCCTGGCAATGGAATATCAGAATCGAGCCAGCTCTCTGTGGCGGTCTCAGTAATACGGTTCCTGAGCCAAGTGGGTCTGCAATATTCCAGAGCACTGCTGATGACAGCACAGCCAGCCTGGCTCATAGGCAGGACCTGGAAAGGCAGTCCAGTCACTGGGGTCAATGAGTCATCCCACTCAACTTCTGTTAATCCTGTAAACCAAAGCCCGAATGGGTAGGGTGGTCCTAGCTGGACAAGCAGCAGGAAAGCTTGCCAGACAGTGATGTCAATGGCAAGCTATGGTTTTAGCTGGTTAGACTCCACACTCTGAGGTCCCTAAGCCTTGGCTCTTACCAACCTGTGCATAATACTTTCTGGGATTAAGTAAACAAGATGCATCCCTCCAGGGAGAGAGTGCGCATTCCGTTCCAACAATCTATCTCTGGGATTTCCATGTATAGGTGGGATGCATAGAATTCTCAGCTTGGTTTGGATACAGTTAAGCATGATGAACGGTGTCCACATGTGTCAGACACCCCGCTGAGCAAATAAAACTGTGGAACCACAAGGTGTAACCCTAAGACTGCTGAACATGCAGGACAAAACCCATGCTTCCAGGGTTTGGGTAGTTCCACATTCTACAAGATTTACACACTTTCTTCTGTTTGGAGACATTATGCATTGCAAGATACAGTATACATTCCTAGATATGTTATACTTTGCATGTTACCTGTACACTATACATTGCACAATAAACACTGTCTAGCAAGCTGCCTGCTGCTTGTCCATCCAAGACCGCCCTTCTGACCCATTAGGGCTTTGGCATCCAGGATTAACATGTACTGAGTGAGAAGAATCTCTGCCCCCAGTGATCTATTTGTACTGCCTATTAAGGTGGGTTCCAAACTCTGAATATCTGAAGGTTTGTTCACAAACCTGTATTCCAGGTAACACCTTCCAGCAGCTGTGGTTGTTAGCCTCAATATATTATTCAGCTTTCTGATGGACATCTGCCTTCATCATGGTGGGAAGACACTTACAGGAGAACTTGTGACATACCAGCCACCTTATACGTTACATGAGGAATTTGACCTAACCCCAAAATGAGGAAATGGAGAAACTGGAATACAGACGACCTTGGCTCTTGGTCTATAAGCTCAGATCGGGCTTGCCCGGTTGGAGATACAATCTGACTGACTGACTTGCTCATCAAGGTGTAATGTATGGTAACGTACTGATAACAGCTGATGAGTTGGGGGCCGAGATTTGGGTTTTGGGGAGTTTGAGTTGCCTGGGGGAAAACTCGCTTTCCCCGATAGTGGAATGGGATTTGGTTTAATTTAGCCAGGGTGGTGAGTGGGGGCATCCCCACTCACCCAAAAAAAGGTACTGCAGCTACTTGGGACGTCCTCCCGACGTGAAAGGCGCTCTATAAATGCAATCTTGTTGTTGTTGCAGTGTCTATAGCCAGCTGTTTAAAGTATAAAGCTTGGTAGCAAATGGCAATGAAGAGAAATATGGAAATGCACTTCCTTTATGGTACTTAGGATCGTAGAAGGTTCCAGTACAATTTGCCTCCGTATTAAATTTATTTCTGTTATTTACTTGTTTTCAAACATACTTATTTAGATACTTATGCCTTTAAGAGTATAACAGTATAATACCATGTGAAATATAATTCACTTGGGATTTTTTTTGTATATTTGTAGCAGTAGAATTCTTTAATGTTTGTAGCTTAATGCTCAATAATACTGTGGTAGCTGGAGAAACAATGAACATTTTGCAGTGATAAACTGTGAAATTACACACTTAAAAAGACGATTTTCCTCTTATTGCAAAGCACTATGTATATTTAAAAAAGACACAGTGAGAGTTTTTAAGTATGGTGAGAGCTGATTCCTCCATCGCCAAAATCTTGTCTAATGCTATTTTCTCAGAATGATTAATGTCCTGTCTACACTGGTTACTTTTTGTTTCATGTACAAATCTCTGTAAAAATGAAAACCTGCCATTTCTCCTTGAGTGAAGTTTAACCCAAGTCAATCACAATGGACTCCTCAGCATTTATTTTAGTCCTGGCTGTCAGTCAGTTAGTCAGTCAGTCAGTTCATCAGTCAGTCAGCTAGTCACTTTCTTGGTTTAATTACGAGGAAGGTAAAAAAATTGCTGAGTAGCTGTATGAATGTCGAATGAACTGGGAGAACTTGACTCGAAATTTTAAAAGCAAATTAACAACCGTTTGATTACAATTAATATCCTCTAGTGTGGCACAAACAGATTCTATATTAATAATGCTTTTATGGAATTAAGAACTGTTTTGTTATTTGGAGTGCCTGTACATTAATCTGGGCTTAGTTCTTCAATATTTAATACTATGAAATCATTTCATTAAAGTAAAATTCTTTCAAATAAGGTTCTGAAAATATCAAAAACAATTGTAATGTTGTCTATTTAAACAGCATGTGATGTTAAAGCACTTATGATATAATTTAAGGTAATTAATTCATAGCTGTATTCAGTCTACATAAACACAGTGTAAAGTGATATTTACAATGTTTCAAAGCCATAGATACTTTCTTACTGCACTGTCAACTCTATGGCTTTGAAGACATTAGTTAGTTTCATTAAGATACTATGTTATTGTTTGACGATGCCTTTAGAGAGTAGCATGGCAATTTTTGTGCTTGAAGTTAATACTGATCCTCTATGTGAAAATTAGCCAGGATATTAAAACTATACCATTTACCTTGCAGTTGTTCATGGTAGACAATGGAGCAGATGACTGGAGAATAGCCATGACTTATGAGCGGATTTTTTTCATCTGCTTGGAGATACTGGTATGTGCTATTCATCCAATACCTGGAAAATATACTTTCACTTGGACAGCACGCCTTGCCTTTTCCTATACTCCATCTACAGCAATAGCAGATGTGGATATAATCTTATCAATACCAATGTTCCTTAGACTCTATCTTATTGCCAGAGTAATGTTGTTGCATAGCAAACTTTTTACGGATGCTTCATCAAGAAGTATTGGAGCACTAAATAAAATAAACTTCAATACCCGTTTCGTAATGAAGACTTTAATGACAATATGCCCAGGAACAGTACTGCTGGTTTTCAGCATCTCATTGTGGATAATTGCAGCATGGACTGTCCGAGCCTGTGAAAGGTAAGCAGTTACTGTACGTCAACTTTTCTAATGTTTAAACATAAGGCATCATTATGGTTTAATTTAAGCCATGGAATAATAATTCAAAAGTCCAAACTGATGACTGTTGGCAGTGCATACACTAACCTCAGAACTTGATGTGTTTGGAGCCTAAGTATTGTGAATCTGTTTAATGATATATGCAAATAATAAGCACTTTGAAACATCCTCCTGATGTCAATTGTCTTGTGAATAATGCCTAGTTAAGAACATAAAGCACGGAACAAGAAAGGGTCAGTTGTCCAATTAAGCCATCTCCTTCCATAGATCATAGAAAATCTGCCCCATTGTGGACTTCAAACACCTTATCTACCTCTTGGGGTAGATCAGTTCTGCAAAGATCCTTCCTGATCTCCAATGCTAATCAAACTACAACTCTGCAGTTTTCAAGCATTCCACATTTCTATGGTTCAATGGACATGTGAGATAGCCAAAAAAAATAGTGACAAAGAATATTTCTCCTCTCTCTACCCCCTTCCTCCCCCTATTTCAAGGAGCACAGAAACCAATTGTGACTCTTCTAGCCTGGTTAATGTATATGCCAGAATAGCTGGAAAGCTTCACATTTATTTTGGGAACATTCAGTAGATATGGTTTCATAGATTTAAATAAATTATGTTTAAACCAAGATGAAGCAGTGCAGTTACACCTCCAATATAACTGCTTCAATTGACCTTATACTACAAATCAGATTACAAGTAAAATGTTACATAAGATACTGCATCTGAATTTGTGTTTTTACTGCAGTACCAGTAGATGTTTGTGAGATTACATGTATCTACGAAAGTAAAGTATATTTTTATTACACTTTGAAGAAGATAATGAATGTTAATCAAGGGACATTCAATGGTAGTTTACAGTTGGGTGTACATTCATTGATTCTGCCTCATTTAAGAATGATTGAAACACAAGACCATTATTTTCCCACTGGTGATGTGTGTTATAATGGGGTTTGCTTGGTTTACTGCCTGGTCACATCTTTTCTTGGACAAAGCATTGATTGATCAGCAATCATACATAATTGCTAAAGCTCCCCAAATTGTGTTCATTCATTGCAAAGCAGCACATTTCACAGCTTTGTACAACATTTATCTGTGATAAACAGAAACTTTCTGGTTATAAGCTAACACGTCAGCTTTTTTTCAATAGAAAATGTTTCAATGCATGCCTTATGTTTTCAGTTTAATTTAGCAAATCATAAGGACTAGCCTTGAACAAATTGGGCAGGACTTTCAAGAAGCAGTAAAGCATACATCCATGTAAGTGATTTTAGATGTTTTATATGACAGTTCTTCTCTTTTAATCAATATTTGAGGACAATAACATGAATTTAAGGGTTGTAGACAATAGGCAACTCCTATTTCTAATTCAGATTCTAGACCATTTGGTTAATTTGAATTTGTTTGTGTTAGTCCCAAGAATTAGAAAAATATTTTTCATTCTCAATTCAATCTTAGAAGATTGATAGACTTCCTTGGGTCACGGAGCACTAAAAATTGTAAGATGCATTAGAGGTTCGAAGTGAGATAGTGATCGTAGGTACATTCAGTGAAAGTCTTACGCTGAGTTAAGGCAATACCTACTGCTGCAGCCAGAGCAACGCTCAAGTGGAAATCCAGTTTTTTTTTCTGGGTTTGGTTTCGCGCTGGGGCAGAACTTGTGATCTCTTTGTGTTACATAAGCAATAACATCATATGCACATATAGATGACATTGCTTCTGCAGTTTCATAAGCCTGAAATTCAACTTAGTCATAACCCTTTTGACTCAGAATTATTGAATATACAGAATTTAAATTAAATTTGAAAATCGTTTTTGTACAATTCTTAAAAGGATCAAAATTCTAAATTAAGATGGAATTGTAGAATTTCCTACAATTTTGCACAAGTTTTAAGCCAAAGTGGTCTTATGAACGCAGACTAGTTGGAATTTTGGGTCCTTTTGTATCCCACTAGTGCATTGGAAAGTGTTCTAAGCCATAACTGATCTGCCCTCTGCTGCACTATGGTATGTAGGAGACTGAGACCTGAATGCTAGATGACTTGGCCATTTTTCCAGCTTTCATTCAGCAACTGCGAGTGGAATCCTATTTCAGAACGATGTAAAATATTAGTTTGGTTTCCATCAGGATGAACAATTTTGTCTGAACAAACTGTGACTCTGATATTGGGTTCTGAATTTAAACCTAATATTAAAATTATTCTAAAAGTTAGTTGCTTGAAGTGGATACATGAGTTTACACTGCTACCTGGAACTATTGGTACAAAAGTTGAATTCTCGTGTTTGTGAATTTTAATTAATCCAGTTATTTTTTAACCTATTCTTATGTTGTTGCCGGTGTTGGGTCATGAGTAAGAGCAACACTTGTTGACTCAACCAATGTTCTTCTCACTCTCTCACTCTTTTTCATCCGGAGGGAAGTGTCTGAGCTTTGTGTCTCCTCCAGATGGATTGCTGAAGATAGTAACTGTCTGGGTGGGTTTTTGCTAAGGAAAACTTGTCTCTTGGCATTGTGCATTAGTATGCAAATGTGCTGTACCATTTGGACATGTCAATTCTTGTTACTTCTGAGGATTGATGCATGTTAAAGTCTTGTGGCTATGGATGATACGTTGATCAAAGTGACATGTTGTAGGCAGATATATCATAACTAAGGAAGATAAGATCAGAAATTGGAAGAGAGGCATGTTTAAATTAGGAAGCCTAGCAAAAGGAGAAAGTCAATCCCATCGCTGTTATTTTATTTTTGAAGCTAATGGATTTATTGATGTGTGATTATGTGGTAGTTTGATGCTAGGCCTGAAAATGGAAACTCACCATCTTCTCTTTCAATATTTAATGGTTCTCAGTGAATAAAGTAAAATCTTCAATTCACTCCTTGTTTATAACAGATCTTTATTTGGGATGAAATGATTCCTATGAAAATGTAGACAAAAGTGGTTTAGGCAAAGTAGGTGGGATCCTTCGGTTCTGTTTTTAAAAGTCCAGAGAAACTTGGCTATTCCCATGTTTGCCTCAAATTCACCTCACTGTTTGATCCTGGACTTTACAAATGACAGAAGCCTTCTACTGGAGCTGCCTAGGAACTCAAATCCATAAAGGAGAACTGTTTGCACAGAGATCCTATGTGCCACAAGCTTGACCTGCATTGGGACCTTGCTGTCCTTGAAGAGAGATGAGCATGACCAGAGTGACCTTTGCCCCTTCTCTGCACAATCCTTCAGGACAGTGTGCAAGCAAGTGTCCGTATATGGAATGGAAATCCATATGTAATTCACAATGTGAAATGCTCAGTCTGGTTTGGATACTGTTAAGCATGGTGATGGATTTCCACAAGCGTCAAATACCCGGCTGACCAAAAAAGACAGAACAAATTAATTTTTACAGCTGATAGTTTGGCATCACTGCTCCTGAAATTTCTGATGATTTTATCCTCCGGAACACTGTCTTAATATTTCAGATAGTGCGGAAGTTTGGAAAACAGTCTTAAAATCTGTCATAATTTTGAGTCCAATTTTCTGCACAGAAAAAAAAAGAAAAAATGCCTTACAAACTAAAACTGAATTCAATAATTGTACATAATTCTGCATAATCTTAAATACAGTATTTACAGATTTGATTTTTTTCAAAAATGGGTTCATTAACAATATTTGCGCTTAATGAGTTTTATAATTTAGTGCAAGTAATAATATACTGTAAAGCAAATTGACTGTATATTTTATGGACAAAACACAGCAGCCAATTGCAACAGCAGTGTCCCACAAACAGCTGTGGATTGAGTGACCAAATTATTATTATTTCAATATTTGTTTTAAGGGTTTATTACCCTGGTATGTATAGAAAAGAGCTGGTATGGAGGATATCAGGTGACAGCAATAGCCTATCAAAAATCGCACAGAAACAATTTTCTCTTGGCCTCGGCACCAGAATGCTGCCAGCGCCTATGGAGCTGTACCCCAGCAAGTCACAACAGGAGGAAGGGAAGAAAAGTAACAAAAACACTCAACCAAACAATATAGTACATGGATTTATAGCTTTGTGTCATCCAGAGTGTATGAATCAGAGATTTTCAACGACAGTTACAACCACAGAAATGTTGTATTCCGTTTATAGACATCTTATTCTCAAAAGAGCCTGTATAACCAGAATAAATGTACAAAAGTACCTGGTTGAGTGCAATAGAATCGTTCCCATCAATTTTAAAATGACAATTCATGTTTGTTGGGTAAATTACAGTAAGAATTTGGAATGTGAAAGAAAGGATATTACCTTATTACCTCATCAATCTCAACAGGTTTGGACTATTAGACAATGGGCTTCAGGGTAAGATTATACAAAACTCAGTCTACATTTATATGCTTAATAATCTGTGCTACTGAACCTAATAGACAACAACAGCAACTTGCATTTATATAGCAGCCTCTACGCCGAGCGGCGTCCCAGAGCACTTAACAATGGTGGAGCCCGATGAAGAGCCAGGGGGAGGAAAAGGTGACCATAGGCATGGTCGAAAGGCAAGGTCTTCAAGCGCGACCTGAAAATGGGGAAAGAGGGGGCAAGGCATAAGGATTGATGGAGGGAGTTCCATAGCTTCTGGGTGTAGTGGCTCAAGGCATGGCCGCCGATGGTGGAACGGAGGATTCGCGAGACAAGTAGGAGGCCGGAGCCAGTAGAGTGGAGGCAGTGGGTAGTGCTATGAGGTGAGAGGAGGTTGAAGAGATAGAGGGGTGCCAAGGTGTGTGTGGAGGAATTTAAACACTAGAATGAGGAACTTGAAGTCGATCCATTCTGTGACTGGGAATTTGGCTTTTGGCAAGGACTGGGGTAATCTGAGTGCAGAGTTTAGTGCAGGTGAGAATGTGGTCGGCAGAGTTTGGATGAATTGAAATTTGTGAATAGTGGAGGAGCGGAGACGGGCGAGGAGGGTGTGAGAGTAGTCCAGCCGAGAGGTGACGAAGGCAT